AGGGGGGAAGAGAGAGAGATAGAGAAGTAGGAAAGAAAAAAATATAGAGAGGGGGGGTTGCGGCGATTGAGAAGGAGTAGAAAAGAGAGGGGAGATGGGTAAGGAGAAGAAGGGTAATTTTGGAAGAGTGGGTATGAAAAAGTAGAGTAGGAAGATTTTTTCCGGACGAAAAAAAAGGTAGAGTAGAAAGTTTATTCTTGGACGGAGGGAGTAACTATTAAAGTTACTTATTTTGGAATTTTTACTTGAGGTATCTTTGGTCATATATTTTAATTCTTTAGAATCCCAACCTTTTTTTGTATATTCATTATTTTTTAAATGTCAAATAAGGTGTCTGATATACCACTCAAGGTGTGGCTGCGACATATATAGTCATTGTTATCCCATTTCATCCGACGACGTTTGGTTTGCAATGACTTGTTGTCTTCTTTGTTCTTTTCTACTTTCGAACGCCTCAGGGGGCTCAGCACGTAAACCACGTTCAATGTGATTAAACTTTTCCAATTTTTGGAAACTGGCGTTGATATATCTCATTGCGAAGTAGTCATTTCAACGCATAAGTAAACTTTTAGATTGATAGAGCAAGAAGATTTTATTGGTAGAAAGTAAGAATGAAAATGGCAAAGATGGACATTTGCTAGTCACTTGAATTTTCATGTTTTCCAAAAAGTTCACTAACTACAATTATTATAGTAACCATGTTAAAAGATAGAACTTTTAATTTGGGATAAAAAAAGAGGTGTACGGTACATTTTGATTACTAAAAGAATAACACGGTCAAGTGATTTGCATACAAAGAAGTCTAAATATTTTCCTATTATCATTGTAGATAATAATATAAAAATAGGCAATCAAGAGAGATAAAAGATTATCGTCAACCTCACACTCTTTTAAAAATAAATATGGCTAGCAAAATATAACGCCACCTTTTGCTCAAAAGTTACAACTATAAACTCTAACTAAAGGATGTTATTATCCTTCCAAAACCTTGTGATAACTAGTTGATAATTAATAACTATGAAACCCATGCACTCTTTTGCACTAATTCGTACAAGGGCTTTTATCAGCATGTTTTTATTTGGAATACAAATTGAAATTTTCTTTTGGAAAGATCACGTATCCACCCATTTCAAGTCATGCATACTTACAATACATTAACGATACAATTATATAATATTTAGTCTTATTGAATAATGAAGGTTTCATCCCTACATATAGGGAATACATAGTGAATCGTAATTAGAGTAGACAAAATAATTATGGTAATAATAAAATAGGAATGTGAAATAATAATAATAATAATAAGGAAAAATTACCCAAAATAATCCCAACTTTACTCGGTTTTTCAAAAATAATCCCACCTTTCACTGTGATGCATAATAATCCCAACTTTACTGAAATTTGCCAGTTTTGAGTCGCCGTTAAGTTTCTAACGGAGGGATAACGGAAATGCCCGTTTTAGGCAACAAAATGAAAGTTGGGATTATTTTTGATGAATTTTTGTTTTTTAATTTTTTTTTGAAATTTTTATTTAAATTTTTTGAATTACTTTCAACTTCCATTTCTTGTTCTTTTTTAAAGATTATTCTTACCTTAGAAAAAAATAGATATAAAAAATAATGAAAATGAGAAAAATAACTAAAACCATACAAAATTAATCAAATAAATAATGTAATCAATAGAAATTAAAGAGAAACTGGTAAGAAATAAAATAAATATTACATTATTTATTTGATTAATTTTGTATGGTTTTAGTTATTTTTCTTATTTTCATTATTTTTTATATCTATTTTTTTCTAAGGTAAGAATAATCTTTAAAAAAGAAAAAGAAATGGAGGTTGAAAGTAATTCAAAAAATTTCAATAAAAATTAAAAAACAAAAATTCATAAAAAATAATCCCAACTTTCATTTTGTTGCCTAAAACGGGCATTTCCGTTATCCCTCCGTTAGAAACTTAACGGCGACCCAAAACTGGCAAATTTTAGTAAAGTTGGGATTATTATGCATCACAGTGAAAGGTGGGATTATTTTTGAAAAACCGAGTAAAGTTGGGATTATTTTGGGTAATTTTTCCTAATAATAATAATAATAATTTATTTTCTATTATCTCTAATATTCTAATATCCCCTGCAAACTGATTATCGGTAACGAGAAAATGTTTGAACCATAGGTACTAGAATGAAGTCGGCAAAAGAAGTTTCAAGATAGCCTCTAAAAGTATAGAGGTAGATCTTCATTGTATGATGAACAAGCTTGAGAGTTATTTGCTGAGTTGTTTTCCATGGGAGAGTGTTGGCGATTATAGCGAGGGTGTGAAGTTTCTTTTTAATCCTTGTGAGACATTCTCCATTTCTCTATCGTTTCCATGCCCTCGAACTCCTAAAAGACAGAGACAAATGCAGCTTTTCAATTTTTTGATCACACAGAATATTTTTGGGACAGAGAGGGATAAAGGACGCGGCTGTTAGGCACACTCATAATTTTTTTTTAGGAAAAGAGAAATGAATTTTTTAGAGTAGAATAAATAATTTTCATTCCTATGTATAGGGAATGCATAAAGAATCATAATTAGAGTAGAATAAATAATTATCGTAACCATAGAATACAAAAGTTAATAATAATGACTTTTTATTTCATATTATCCCTATTATTCCTACTCATTAACCATAATATTTTAATCTAATAATTATTTTCAAAATAATTATATTCATCTCTTTATATTATTCAAATATAACTCCACAACCTTTAATTAAAATTATATTAGTGAAGAAGATGTTGAACTCTTGAGCCATATTGTCCAATAAATTTCCAACATATGATACAAATCAAGCAAAAGTACTTGTATAGGAAAAGACATCCTATCTATATTGTGTATAGTCCAACCTTTTATATATTCTCCAAATATGTTTATCTTCTCATTTAATCTCACTATACAACATTTAATGACTTTATGGTACTAGGTATATATAAAGTACTAAAAATAAAAAGAAAAATTTAAATAAAAACTCTAATATAAAGTAATTTTTTTTGAATAGAATCATTTTTAAGTTTTACATAAATGCTAAAGTCACACAAAAACGTCATAAAATTTACAAATTTGCCATTTATGAATTTAACTTTTTACTTTTTAAATTATTTAAGATAATTTGTTCTTTTGGTGGGACTCCATAACAACAAGTTTGTTTTATTTTGACTTATTTTTTTGTGACTCTAATATTTCCCTAGTTTTTATCCCATTTTTGAAGATTATTATTAATGTATGGCTTTAAAATTTTATGGTTAGGCTACTTTAACCATTCCATACGCTCTGGTGTCCATCTTTACGAATAAGGCGGGTGCTGGACAAGGTTAAAATATCTATTAACTCTCCATATGCCCATCCTTACCTTGTACATTCTCTAACATTGACTCTAAGTTTTAATATCAAGTTTAATTTATAATATGTTCTGCAGGATTGTCTGTAGGGATCCTCAATCTTTCGTTTGTAATCCCACAGGTATAGATATACTTCTTTCATAACTTCAGATATCGACATTATTATTGTAAGAAAAATAATTATTGTTCTATTTTATTTGTCGTCATATGTGTATATACCATATTTACCAGTAATCTCATAACTTGTCATGTATTCTTAGTCTTAGTTAGAGTTCCAGCCATGAATATTCATTCACCATTATGGAACAAAGTTTGTAGATAAAAATCGTGTAGAGGTGAAAATCTTTTATTAGGAAGAAGAATCTAACCATCATCAGGTCTTGACTTTTGAAAGGCTTTTCGACTCGCAGATGGGTAAGAATATGTCAAAACATTAGAGCAATTGGAAGGGTTAAGGATTGAGCACTCAACTAAGCCACTCAACCTCCTAGCGTAATGTAAAGGAGAGCAAATAACCCAACCCAGGGCACCACTCGCTCGAACGCTTGACTTGAAACAGGACTTCATGTCTAGGGGAGACAAAGAGACCACCATCATCCTCGGAGGAAATGAATACGCCCTCATTGCTATGCTCTAGGAATGCCTACCACAAGATGATATTCGTAAGACGCTCTGGACAAACCCAGTAGCAACCTACAAGGAGGCGATTATGTGTGCTACATTGAAAGCCTTCAAAGAAGTAGAGTGATTTTGCAAGAACATGTGAGATCGAGCAAGATGACTCTCACCCTTTTGGATAGTCTAGAGAGAAGAAGAAATGAAGACTTCATGTCAAGGTCATAGTCCTTTGGTTTGGGGACTTCCATAGGATATGTGTCTTGTCATCACAGTTTGTGATCCCTTCTTCATACCCAAAACAAAAATATGTGGGATATTCTAAAAACTTGGATTGATTACCTCATCAATCAAGGCATGTACCATATGGAAATTATGTTATATATTCAATAGGTGCTTCAAGGAACTCCAAAATTTAAAGAGAACCTATTGAGCTGGTCATCGTAACTCACGAGGGAGGATAGACCCCAAAGAAGAGGAACCTAGGTAGTGAGTGCGCTGAGCTAGACTATAACAAGTGTCATCATAGGAGGCACTATGCAGACAACTTCTTACACACAGAGACCATCACTTGAGTCTTTGTCACCACCCAAAAGTAGTGAGAGAGGCAAGTTTATGTGGCAAAGATTTAAATTCCCACACCAAGAAGTCAAAGAGGGAACTCGTTTCTTCACTTATGATGAACTCCGTGATTGGCCATTCTCTAACATGATACCCAACTTATAATCAAGATGTAGATTAATAATATCATCGTTCACCTAATGCGGGTTTACACTGGTAGCTAAGTGAACATTATTTACTTAGAAACCTTCAAGGTGTTGGGTCTCCTAAAAAATGACCTAAGGTTGGTCAAGACCACTTTTTTGAATTCAAAGGGATTTGATTAAAGTTGAAGGGTTGATAACTACTTTGGTTGAGAAGTTGATGCAATGGTGAGCATAATGCCCACCTCAATATAGAGTTTATTGTATTGTTTCTTGCTTACACACTCCTTCTAGTGCTTGTTTCTTACCCTTGAATACGGGGAATGTGTCATCTCCCCTTAACACATATAATCACATTCCAAACACCCATCATGGTTGGAATAGCTTGGGGCAATCAGCTACTCTCCGCTCATGCTATGTCCAGAAAATTAAGTAGATGGTGCAAGATGGGATCTTGGTTAACACCATTCCAACGATGGTATGGAATGAGGAGTCGTGATCAAAGTTAGAATTACAACATGAAGTCAATGAGGTCTCCCTTGGTTGACTTAGGGAGAGAGAGAGAGAGGAACCAATAAAAGACAATGTTACCTAGCGCTTGAGGTTCTGCCTCGTTTGAGTCATAACAATGTTTATCATTGTTTTCACATGGGTACCAAAAGACATTCCCGAGGTCAACCCGAATATCATATGCGATATGCTCTCTATAGACTCCACGTCTATGTTATTTCGCAAAAGGGCATACTTCCTTTCCTCAAAATGGACAAACTTATTTCCCAAGAAGTTGGAAACTTCGTAAGGTGTTATCCTAATACAAGAGGTTTTTGATGTAACATGGTCTAAAATTTTTGTCCCAGCACTTAAGATATCTATGTGGAGAGTGTGTGTCAACTACACCAACCTCATTAAAGCTTGTCCCACAAATCCTTTTTTCTTTCCAAAGGTTGACTAATTAATGGACAAGGCGGTGGGGTGAAAATTTATGATTTTCATGGTTTCCTTTAACGAGTACCTTCTGCATGCACCCAAATGAATGAGAAAAAATTTCCTTCACAACTATAAATGTTGTGTACTGTTTTAGTTCAATGAGATCTTTTCACCTATCTTTGGAAAGAATATGGAGGTCTACGTGGAAAATATGTTTTGTAGAGTAAGCAAGCCTCTTCACATACCAAAGATTTAGAGCAAGTCTTCTCAATCATAATTAACTAGGATGTCTTTCTTAACGAGAGAAATGCACCTTCGGTGTCACAGCTGGGCAAGTCTTGCGACACGTAGTGAGTGGATGAGGGATCAAGCCTAATTTAGAGAAGGTTCATCCTTTCCTTGACATGGAACCCAATTGGAACATCAAGCAAGTTAAATTTCTAAGTAGTAATTAAGTTGACCACTCTCTATTGGTTTCTCTAAAAACTTACGGATCGAGTAGCGCCATTACATAATAACAATAACAACAACAACAATAATAATAATAATAATAAATAATAATAATAATAATAATAATAATAATAATAATAATAATAATAATAATAATAATACTAATAATAATACTCCCTCTGTCCCAAAAAAGGACTCCTTATTTCCTTTTTGGGTGTTCCAAATAAAGCCTCCTGTTTCTTTTCATGAAAAACTTCAACTGGGTCACAGTCTTTCTTCTTTCAACTACACATTTTCACTTTCCTGAAACTTCGTACCAAGTTTAACTGTGAACTTTTTTTGGGATGGAGGGAGTAATAATAATAATAATAATAATAATAATAATAATAATCCTGTAAAAATGGCATACTTGCTCTCTATATATCCTAGAAATTTATAAGTCAGGGCGTAATGGCCCAGACACTCTACTTGTACTAGGGGGTTCCCCCATTGGCGGTGAGCTCGGTCCTCATCCACGAAGATGAAGATTTTAAACACTTACTTTTCTATGTATCCATAACACTCTGTGGTATGGAGCTAAGGTACATGATGGTTGAGAAGATTGTGTTTTTTGTTATATGGACAGTAAAAAAGCTCACTCGATATTCTAGGCACACTTGTACACTATCTCTTACAATGGCCCCTCAGCATGCTCTTAAAGATCCCTATCACACCTACAAGAACGACAATTGGCACACTAGATATAATTGAAGCTAAAACTTTTGATTATTGGGAAAGAACTCAGTTTCTTTCTCATTTGTTGAGCAATAAGGAAAAACTAAGCACATACCCAACTTGTGACTTAATAAGGGATGGGTAGTACTCCTCACCCGTGAAGGCTTCCAAGTATATTACTCATCAAGTTCAAATTCAGCATCTCTAATGATGGGGAAAATATGAATGATGAGAAGGTGAAGGTCATCAAGTGCTACTCAAGACTCTTGGTTTCCATATCTCTAGGGAGTTTACGTAAAGGAAAAAGAACTAACATGACTTGGTGCTCCAATTACTCAAGGCATTTAATGCATATGAACTCAAGAATTTTTTGGGTAGAGATCTTGGAGGTAGATATCCTTTCTTAACACAACAGAAACACTCACGTGCGGATTGCCCACATTTCAATGTTCTAGGATTCTGGGGAGCCAATCAAACACTCTTATCCATATCATCACATTATTTAAAGGCCCTGGATCAGGTGGATGACCTTATCACCTACAACACAGTAGAAACCAATGGAGGGAAAGCTTGTAAAAATCTAAGCTCGAAACAACATCTTAAAGAGTGAGAAACTCTACTAGCAGGCTTACAATAAGACCTAAATTTTGTGCCCTCACATGTACAAAAATAAGGAAAGTAATAAAGGTAGTCCACACTAACATATGATCAACACACTAAGAAAAATACACTATGTTTTGAAAGATAACCCTCTAAGGTTACTTTTCTCTTATAATCGTCAAGGACTGTGTATACTTTATTAAGAGGTGTAAAGATTTCTAAGAGTTCACGGAGGTGCTTGGAGAACTAACCTACAATTACACTCCAATTAGCATGGCATTTCCCTTCGCAAGATGAGGAACTAACTTAATTGGGGCACTTTCTAGGGGAACCAGAAGTAGGTGGTAGATCATGATTGCCATTGACTATTTCACTAAGTGGGTGTAGCCAAGCCCACTTTCTAGTATCATGGTGGCATAGTGTGGGGTCATATTCGTAGTTAAATAAGTTATTTTCCCCTTTAGAGAGCATTATCATATCATCATATATGGAAAATATCACCCAATTCAGGTCGAGTTCCTTGAATGAGTTCCTTGAAAGTTGGGGAGCTAAATGCAAATATGCATCCATGTGTTATTTATGCCAAGGATGACGTTGAGAAGGCCAACCACACTATCATCGATGAACTAAATAAATAAATCAAGAAAGGCAGAGGTGAATAAGATGAGAAATTTCCTACATCTTATGAACCTACCTAATGACACCAATGAAAGTGGCAGCAAGGCCCCCTTGCCATCTCTTAGGGATTCAAAACATGTACGTATGCCAAAGTCTCTATCTTAGCCACTGTATATATAACTTTTACCAAAAGTAGAATGAAGACGACTTGGCCATCAATCTTCAGTTCATCAATGAGAGGCATTAGTATACCTTCATTTGAGTAGAAAACTATATAAGGAAAGTCATAGAATACCACCACTCGAGGGTACTTTTGCGGAGGTTCTAGGAAGGTGATTAGATCCATAAAAAGAGAGATGTTAGCAAACCGAATGAAGGAGAAGAATATCTATGACCATACCTTTTGGGGAACCTACATCATTATGTATGTCCTTAGCTATGAAACCTATAGCTAGACTCGAAACAGTACGTGGCGGGCCATCTCAAGAATATGGAATAAAGAACCTTGTTAGACTTTTGCCAATAAATCTATAGGTTACCCACCTTTCTAGGGGCGACTTTCTTTTGTAGTAGCTCCTAAAATTTATTGATAAAGGAATTACCAAAAAAGACTCTAAAAAAGTCGAGAAAAACCTTATCAAGGTGACCAAGCCATGTTTAGTGTTACAAAATCTCGGGCGGTGATGAGTCAGGCAT